TCCTATAAGCCCTCAGATAGAGGGACATATTTTTTTCTTAACTTTTCATTTCTTTCTTCCATGAGAAATATGGGGGAGGAGGCACCTCCAACGGAGTCTTCACCCTGCGACCTACTCTCAGCCCCTGCCAGTTGGATCACAGGGATGTGCATGCGCAGTGTGCTCAGGAGGTTCCAAGACACTACCCAGGACCCAGGATGTTGCCCACGTGGGTCCAGTTGTGTTACCACTGCCCATGTGGTTTTTTTTTTTTTTCAGGAGGGTAGGGAGGATAAGATAGCCATGCTGCAGTCCCTTCTCTTCTCCCAGGATTTTGGGTCCAGAAGCACATGCATCCCAAGTGATTGTCCAGTCCCTGGATCCAGGTCTCAAACTGTCCTGTCAGCCAGGAAGGATCCAGTCACCTCAAGTTCCATGCCACCTATTGGCCTTTTCCCAGTGTTCCTGACATAAAGAATAAGGAGTAGGGGCCCGCAGATGGCATGAGGTTAAGGTGGCTGGATGTACAAGGCGCACGTGTGTGCATGCCCAAAACCCTGAGAAAAGAATGGAAGAGAAGGGATTGCAGCATGGCCATCTCCCGGGGCAGGGTGGGGGTGGGCATTCCTCTGTTCCTCGTGCCCACTCCCGACCCCCAGTCAGGTGCACGTGCCCTGCAGCTAACTTACAAAAAGGAAGGAAGGGAGGAAGGAAGGAACACTGTGGCACTGACATGAAGAAGTGTGGGTGGCCCAAGGCCAGGGAGCAAAGGGAGCCAAGGCCAGTGTAGTCCACACTGCAGAGTGCCTTGAATGCCAAACTAAGGCCTTTAATCTAAAGGCTGGTTGGGAGGTAGGCCCCTGAAATAAATTTGCACAGGCAAGTGTGTGTCACAGAACAGAGGGCAGGAATACACGTGATTCGATACAGAGCTGAGGGGCTGGCAGGTGGTGTGGTGGTCAAAGGTGCTGGACTCCCACGTGGCTGACATGGTTCAAGACTCGGACCTGGCAGCTTGCTTTCTCACTGTCTCTCTCTCTCTGTGTATTGCTCTGGTCAAATTAAAAATAACAATAATGACAAGTAAAATAAAAAAAAAAAAAATACAGAGCTGAGCATCTGCTGTATACCAGAGCCAGTGCTAGCTTTGTTTAGTGAGAGAAGGCAGGCAGAAAGTAAGATGACAAAAAATAAACAAGGTAGGGCCAGCAGGTGGCCTGCTGGTTAAGGTGCTGGACTCCCAGAGAACCTGGGACTCCTATAAGCCCTCAGATAGAGGGACATATTTTTTTCTTAACTTTTCATTTCTTTCTTCCATGAGAAATATGGGGGAGGAGGCACCTCCAACGGAGTCTTCACCCTGCGACCTACTCTCAGCCCCTGCCAGTTGGATCACAGGGATGTGCATGCGCAGTGTGCTCAGGAGGTTCCAAGACACTACCCAGGACCCAGGATGTTGCCCACGTGGGTCCAGTTGTGTTACCACTGCCCATGTGGTTTTTTTTTTTTTTTGGAGAGATTTTTTGCTATAGGGCGTGTGCACTCACCAGAAAGACAGAGAGACAGAGAGACAGAAA